CCCAAAACCCCAAAACCCCAAAACCCCAAAACCCCAAAACCCCAAAACCCCTCTAAGTTTTAATATTATTGAATATTTATATTAAACTCAGGTCAGCTTGAAATCGGAATGTGATAATGCACTCATAATTAACCCTCACAAACCTCTCTGACTATGTTTAGGTTATTAATAAGTGAATCATGGAGAATTCTTCCAATGGCCCAGGTAAAACCAAGTTTTAGGAAAATTAACTTTGAAATACTAAAATACATTAATTTTATGCTTTCGTCACTTATACATTCTAAATTAAATACTATCCTGGTTACTGACTATCTTCCGAAGTTTGCAACCAATTTTAGGGGTGAAGAATGTTTTGCAAATTTTGAGATAACTATTTCTCTCGTATATTATAGAATTTTATATCGAAAACTCATCTTATCAAATTCCCTGTATAGACCAAAGTAGCAAAAACAGGAAATCAAAAAACATAAATATTTGTAAGATTCTTTAAAATACTATAACCCTGTGAAGATTTTTCAAAAACGAGGAAGAGGGTGAAAGCAAAGCCAACAATTTTCATCAAGGATGAATCCGGGACAGTATTCAACACCCCCTCTAAGCCTAGCTCAAAAATTCGACCAGCAATGGCACTTGACTTCAACCATGCTCCCAGGTTGGTCCTGAGGAACAACTTAATTGTACGCAAGCTTTGATTGAATTTATGAGTTTAATGTTGCTTGAACCATTAAGGCGAAATTTAATTTCTAACTGTACGTAGGAGACCTCTGAAGACACCACTTCGTTACCCAACATCTCTTCGAATGAGACAACAATGTCAAAAAGGTAAGCCCAAGCATTACCTCATAAGGAATCTGTCCAAGCTTAAGATTGGCAAAGGGAAAAGTAAATAAGATGCCCTTATTAGGCACTGAAAAGTCCAAGTTAGGCTCATTTTTAATCTTTAGGCGCAATTTTTATGACAAATTCATGAATTTCAAGCAAATTGATATCCAAAATCAGCTCCAAAAGCTTGATGTAAGCATCAAATCGGGAATTATTGATGAATTCACCCTTATTTTTATAGGAAGAGAGGATCAAATTATCCCAGCAATCTAGGCAATCAAGGAAGTCTCGCAATCAAGGCAGGAATCATCATCTCAATGGAGTCAAAAGTTATGAAGATAACATAAATGTTGGGAAATGTATGAAATTATTCATAATAACCTTACTCTAACCTCTACTCTAGATAAGGGTGCATTGAACAGCCAGATCAGGTCAACAGATCTTCTGTTGCCAGATGTACCTGCTCCTAGGCATGTTCAGAGCCCAAAAGGCCATATTTCGTCACTAATAAAAGAGGGCTCAACTACGAAGAACCCTCAGAACACTTCTATCTACAACATTTTCCGGCGGAGCAAGCACAAATTGTACGAGCTAGATCAGGAAAGATCTGTAAAACCTAGCCTAACCTTTAGAAAGGCCTAGCCAAAGAGCCGGAGAGGAACCCAAACCGGATAAAGATAGACAAGCACAGTCTGTTTGAGAAGTTTAAAAAGAACCAGAAGAGATTTGATAAATAAACTTCTTCCCTCTGTTGTTAACCAGGTGTAGCACTTTAAGCCATTTTCAATTAATCTGACTGCTTAGGGGTTTTGGGGTTTTGGGGTTTTGGGGTTTTGGGG